TAACACACTGATGTTTTAGCTGTTGCTAAGTAGTGCTTATCCAAAGGGAAAGATTTTTCAGTTTCCCATGCTCTGCCAGTGAGCAGGTGCACAAGAAGTTGGGAGGGAGCACAGCCAGGAGAGCTGACCCAAACTAGCCAAAGGGATATTCCATACCATAGAAAGTTATGCTCAGTAAATAAACTGGCGGATAGCTGCTCGGGCATTGGTCAGTTGGTGGTGAGCAATTGCATTGTTCATCACTTGTATTTTCTTGTTTGTTTTGGTTTGGGTTTTTTTTTCCCCTCTTTTTTGGCTATGTTCCTTTTCATTACTATTAGTATTTTTTTAATTATTATTGTTAGTATTATACTTTATTTTACTTTAGTTATTAAATTGTTTTTATCTCAACCCACAAGTTTTACTTTTTTTTTTTTGATTCTCCTCTCCATCCCCCTGGGAGTGGGGAGGAGTGAGCAAGCAGCTGCGTGGTGCTTAGTTGCCGACTGAGGTTAAACCATGACAGTAATGTTAAGATGGTGGTGTTGTACACAAAAAAAAAAAGGTAAAATTCTCTAGTATGTCATATATATTGGTACTTATGCTTACATTTCTCTGTGGAGTTCAGAATTCTTCTAATGAAATCACCTTTCTTTTTTGCCATTCTGACTTCCAAAAAATAGTTCAGGAAACCCTTATTTCTTTGGCCTTATAACACCACGTACCATCTATTCTGCACTGGGGTGTGGGGTGAGGTGAGAGAGAGCTGGTGCGGGGATCTTCCTGGATCTCAATAAGAAAGGCCCAACAACCAATGGCTTAATAAGATAACTGCTTCAAAAAGATTAAGGAGAGGAGTATTGATAGTGAGTAACATCTTATGTCCCCTCAGATGCTGGGCACCCCATGTTCATGCAGCATCGGACAAAGCCCTGATGGATTTTCCCACGGCACACGGCAGAGAGCAGATCCTGTCCATGGGGAGAAACTCTCCATTTCAGCCATTCAAGGCCACATATAATTTCCTTACAAGGAAACAACTCTCTTTCTAAAGAGTGTTCCTGCGAGAACTCCTTGCCTGACTTGCTGTTCGGTAAGTGCGAGGCCACGGAGCAGGCATAACCGCGGTGCTGAGCAGGAGCTGCCCGCCGGCTCCTCCAGCACCCTGCGCGGGCTGGGTCGGTCCCGCGGCCGAGGGAGGAGTATGGCACGGCACAGCTCAGCCTGGGGGCCACGCTGGCCGTGCGGCACCTGCCCCGATTACTTGCTGGGTACAGTGGTCTCCCCATCAGGATCAATACATTCCTCCCCTTGAACCACATATGGTTTACCTTCCCCAAATATATACCATAATTTACAGATTGTATGAATAACACAGGGGCGTCACAAGTACAGGTGCCAGTAGAGCAGACACGGCCTGTTCAAGATCACTGACTCCTCAAGTTTAATGTCTTCCACAGGGCTCCCAATACAGCATCTTCTTACACTCTTTTCAAAGCAATCGTGTTGCTCATTTAGGCATTTGTGATAGTTAATGAAAAAATAAACCAGCTAAACCAAAATGGTTTATTTTTGCTCCCACTTTGTGGTCTTATTAGAGAGATAGGTCTCCAACATACATGAAGACATTCATTTTTAACCTCAGATCACTCACAATTTTTCTGTCCCCTGTATCACATGAAGTACACTTTAATGGCAGTTTTAATTAGTTTTCCTGCTGCTAAAGTACACAGTTAATCTTTTTCTTTTACCTTTATGACTGCTATCCCTCTCTCTCTTCCTTGTATGAATGGAAAAAACCAGCTCCACAGTCTCCCTAAGAACTTTATAAAGTCCTTCCTCAAGGCTGTCATCTGATAGAATACTTAAACAGCTGACCATGCTGAGAACAGCCAGTTCTAGCAGTGAGCTGAGAGTACTGTTTGTTACTAGAATTCTGTGTTATAAACTGTAGACCCTAGTTGCTACCATTCGCTTAATATCTGTTACATTCCTTTTTTGTCTCCCTTGCCCCATTTGGCCGCTTTGTTCATGTTGCATCTTTTCATGTGATAGTACCAGATCTGCTTTATAATGCATGTGGATAGACAGCAATGAACAGTTTAGGAGTGCATGTCCTTTTTTTGTGTAATTCTGTTTAGTGTCTAGAACATTGGGATTCCAGTCCTAATTGATAGTAGTTGTAAGAGAAATACATATGCGAAGCCCTGTGTGCTTATGTAGGTATTTCAACAATACAAGTTCCCTCAACGAGTACATTTCCTTCTCTCTGCTGTGGCAAAGCCCTCTCTGTATTCATGTATACTACCTTGACAGGGGTAGAACTGAATTCAGAGAAAACTTCAACCATGCTGCAAATAAGCACAGAGTAAGTCACTTAGCAGTTACATGGATCACTATTAGTAAAACGTCACCATCAGTTAGCACCTCCCTTATTACTAAGCAAATGTGACTTGTTTGATTCAGGCCATTGTTTCCTTCGGCAGCATTTAGGACCTGTTCTTCTTCTGGCTGTCCATTTTTGGACTTCCTTTTAGCACTTACCACCCTCACAACCTGTAACAAGCTCTCTGCTTTGAAGGAGCATATTCAGTAGACACATTGTGTTTAATATTCTCCACTATGACCAGTTTTTAAAAACATTTCTAGAGAGTTAATTTGAATTTGTTATTCAAGAATTACAAGAAAGATCATAGAGATGAGTTTACTTTTACACACAGACTTTTGTGGCCACATGCCACCAGGTGAATTTTTATTAACTTTGACTAGTCATTGTGATACTAAGATGTAAAATTCAGCAAAATTACAAAGGCATTCAAGTGTGCTGAATTACCTTCTGACTAAAGCCTCACATGAGACTCACAGAGGTTCTGTTTCATGAGACAACATTTGAACTTAAGGTTTACCTTTGCAATAAAAATATTATTTTATTTATATCCTGTTATCTGTATTAGCATGAACAGTTTAATATTTCAGAGTTTAAAAAATGTTCATAACATGTTCTCTACTGAAAAAAATGCAGCCTTTAATTGATAAACTGCATTAACGCAGGCCATAAAGTGGACATCTTCTTTGTCCCACTAAGAGCAAAGTCTAATCAGTATCTGTTTAGAAATCCTGACTATCTACTCCTTAAGTAGACATAAAAAATGAATAGCAGTACAAACTTGTTTTTAAATATTAATATGTAAATACGTGTGAGGAGTTCAAATTAAAAAATGGTATTTTATTGCATATGATACAGCAATAAGCTGCTCTTAATCTCACTCATTTTTTGTTTCTTCTTCATAAAAATAAGTACAAGCTATGATGTGAAAATTGCAAAGCACTTAGCTGTAGACACCACTTGTGTCAAACAGATTTACATACATGAATAAAAGTGAAATGATTTTTTAAGTGTTTTGCTAAATAGGTACAGGCTGCAAAGCTAAAAGCCTAAGTAAAAGGCCTTGTCTTGTCTTCCTAACAGTTTGTCTCATATCTAGATACTGGAGAATTGAAATACCTGACTGCTGGTCTTAAAGCTAGCTGTACGGTGAAAAAAAAATAGAATCTACATACAGAAAATGCCAGTTGGGTGGTTTGAAAAGCAGACAGTCAAGCTTCATCTGAAAATACCTTTCTTTCCTTAGGATAATTCTGAGTAAAAAGAAACAGAGATAGCGATGTATCGCAGGAGAAGACTCAGAGATCACTCAGACAGATCTGATCTAGTAGTTAGTTTATTGAGTTCTAAGCAGTAAATTTATGTATGTAAAATATTTAGTAAGGACAGATGGATTGGCGGTCAATACTCTACTATTTACTACACTTAAAGTTAGTAAGGGATACAAAGATTATCGCATAAGCTTACTACACATATCTTAAACGTTACATGCATGCCAGAAATGTCACTTACCAACCCATCAATGCCTGGTGTCAGGTAAGGGATGCCTCAGTCTCAAGGGGTAATCTTGAGAGGCGTCCCTACTCAAGGGGAGATCATTGCCACGCAGCCAGCTGCTGTGGAGGGAGAGCTCAACGGACCCTGATGGCTGCAGATATTTATAGTGTAAAGTCATATTTTCTGCTGTGTTAATGCAGTTTCAGCCGCTTATCAGCCCAGTCTCCAGCCAAACCCGTTTTTTGGGTTTGGTGCTGTGTTCTCAGTGATAGCCTCACACAATAGGATTAACTTCAGTTAGGCCTACTTGCTGAGCATCTGCCTGGACCAAAGTTCAGTTAGCTCAAACAGGAGTGCATTCATCACACGATGTAGATTTGGGTTATTTTGCGGGATCATGACTCACTAGATCACACTATAGTCTCCTGTTGCTATTGGGGATTCAGTATAACCCCTTTCATAAATACATGGAGCTCCAATTCATAAGAAATCATTTTTGCTTCCACTGCTGGAAGCAGATTCCAGTATCTGGCTGCTTAAATGGCTGGGGGTTTCCTTTGAGGTTTCAGCCTAAATGTGTGTGTTTGTGGGCTCCTTATGTGCCACGTAAGGGATACAGGGATTTGTTGGGACTCTGCTCCAGGTCCCTGTCCAGAACCTTCTTTTGGATCCATTTCTAAGGTACTTTCTCATAACTTTTAATTTGTATTTATTTTATTCTCACATATTTTCTCAACTGAAAGATAGTTATTTGGATCAATAGAATTAGCTGCCCAATACTGGACAAATATTGGCTAAAGCCCCAATTCTGCAGCTTTTTGCTGTTCAGGAGAATGTGTGAACACACTGATTTCAATAGCGCTTGCATTCCTTTTTTGGTAGTACAGGAAGGCATTGTTTATTATAGTAGTCACAGTAGCAGTATTGAAATGAATAATAACTTTGATCAATTTGAGTCAAAAAAGGAGTACCTCTCATTACCAGACCTTAGGAAAAAAAAAAAGTTGAACAGTTATTATCACCTGCCTGATAAATAAGTATCATCATGCATGTTAAAACTGTTGATTTTCCACAAAATTGAGTGCTAGTCTCTCAATGAACTTGATTAGTAAAACCTAAGGTTAGAAAGAAAATCTAACAGTAAAGAAAAACTGAAATATGATGGAAGAGTTATTATATTGAAGAAATATGTCTCCAAATAGGCATGCCTTTTCTTGGGTTTCCTCAGCAATTTTTGAAACATGGCAGATGAGAGCACTTGATCTTGGGTCAGCGAGCATCACAAATAGTCTTCACAAGGAAGTCCTGCTGTGACAGTGGAAGAGGCCATATTAGCTACATATTCAGGACAAGAGCTGTTTCACTTGAACTGCTTTTCAGGTGCTTTGATTCATTCCTGCCTTACTACCCTTTCCCCCTCTTTTCAGGATTGCATGCTGTCATCTCTGTATGCGGCTTCCCAGCTTTGCTTGCTCTCTCTTCCCCCCCTAAATGAAACCATCGGTTCAGAAACATCTAGCTTCTATTCACTACTTGGTGCAGAATATTCTCATCTTGTACTCTTCAGGGTATGCACTGAGTCATGAGCAGTACAATCTCTCATAACTGTGATGGCAACTGTATGTACCTTGTTATCAAGAACATTTTATATAAAAAATCAGTCTGTTACTTCTATTTACTTTGTGTATTGTTCATTCATTTTATTTCTAAGTTTTCTTTGCTCTTCTGAGCTGGCTAGAAATACGGTGGGCAGTAGCTGCTTTCTCAATTACCCTGTTCTTTTCAGAGAGAATTACATTTTCATTACCAATTGCTGTATATTGTCTCTGGGAACACTGTTCCAGAAGTTATCCATTTGCCTCTGTTATTCAGATAATAACAGTTATCTTTAAAAACATACGGCCTGTAAAAAAAATATATTTTTGAATTTGTGCTCAGTTTTCAGAAACTCTAAAAACCTTTCAAGACTGAGACGTGTGTGTGCCTTACATTATCCCAATAATCTCACATAGAAATTTTCCCTTCTATGTGCCACTTAGTTTCCTGAGGCAGGGGCTACGGTGCGGTGCACCAGGTGCAGTGCCCAGGCCCTGGCTGGCAGCGGGGCCTGCAGGGGCGGCCCCTGTGAGGGGAGGCCGGGGCTGCCCCGGGCCGGACACGGCCGGTTCCAGCCGGCTCCAACCAGCCCACGCACGGCAGGCCAAGAGGGGGCGGCGCCTCCGGGAAAGCCCGTGTCGGAAAGGGCAAAAAATGCCAGCCGGGCAGAGAGGAGCCAGGAAAAATGCGTGACAGACAGCCCTGCAGGCGCCAAGGTCCGTGGAGAAGGAGGGGAGGGGGTGCTCCAGGCGCCGGAGCAGAGATTCCCCTGCGGCCCGTTGGGAAGACCATGGTGAGGCAGGCTGTCCCCCTGCAGCCCAGGGAGGTCCACGGTGGAGTAGATATCCACCTGCAGCCCAGGGAGGACCCCACGCCGGAGCAGGTGGGCATGCCCTGAAGGAAGCTGTAGCCTGTGGACAGCCTACGGAGGAGCAAGCTCCTGGCAGGAGCTGAGGCCTGCGAGGGACCCACACTGGAGCAGTCTGTGCCTGAAGGACTGCACCCCATGGAAGGGACCCCCACTGGAGCAGTTTGTGAAGAACTGTATCCCGTAGGAGAGACCCCATGCCAGAGCAGGGGAACAGCGTGAGGAGGAAGGAGTGGCAGAGAGGAGCTGTTATGGACTGACCACAACCCCCATTCCTCATCCGCCTGCGCTGCTTGGGGAGGAGGAAGTAGAGGAGTTGGGAGTGAAGGAGTGAAGAAAGGGGGGTAGGTGGGTAAGTGTCTTTGATTCTCACCATTGTACTCTGTTTTTAACTGGCAGCAAATTAATCTTCCTCAAGTCCAGTCTGTTTCACCTGTGATGGTAACTGGTAAGCGATCACCCTGTCTTTATCTCAACCTATGAGCTTTTCTATCGTACATTGTTTTCCCTTGTTCTGTTGAGGAGGAGTGGTGAAAGACCAGCTGGGTGCATGTCTGGCAGTCAGGCAAGGTCAACCCACCACATAACAGCATAGTGGATTAGGCCACATGCCACAGTAAGACTTGTGTCTATATTAGACTTTTCAGGGCATAATGTAAAATGCAACAAATAATTAATTAAAATAATGACTAAAAATTCCTCCGTCAAAAGTCATTATACCTTCAAACTGCATCAGAAATAGTGTCGGTGTGGTTTGTATCTAGTGTTCCTTGTGGCTAGAGGATCTGAATTTGCAGACTATCAGTCAGTGCTCAATAATGTAAACAAAGTGATCTATTAATAAAGTAACATAAAAGACACTAAAGTGTATATTTATGTATAGTGAATTTATATTCAGCAGTTAATGCATGTTGGAGAACACACAGAAACACCATTCCTGTTCGATTCTTTTCTCTGCCAGTACAGTGATTTATTTATGGCTTCTCTAGAGAAAACTGAAATAGGGTGCTGGAGCTGCAAGCAGGAGGAAAGAGCATGAAATGATGTTCAGGAGAACAGTGGCAAAATGTGCGAGAAAAGAACAATCTACTTTCAGACTGAGACATTAGTGGCAGTGAAATCCAGGGAGAAGAAATTATTTACTTGTTGATCAAAAGTATTTGTATAGGCAATTCTTAGGTACCATCAAACAAATACCAGCTCAGAACTAGGACAGTATATTCTATACTCCTACTCCTCTACTTATATACTCCTAGACTCATACTTCTATACTCCCACTACTTCATTCCACCCCCCTTCTACTTCCACATGCACTGATTGTGATGCTGGATTTTGTCCTTTAACTTTTTTCAAACAATGAGCCTAAGATTGGCTGGCTGCCAGACTACTTTTTCTGAGTCAGGCAAATGTTACATTTTCACTGTTGTGAAAATGTGTCAGTCCTTGGCTACAATTCTGAAAAACTTTACTGTTTGGGAAAATGGGGTATTTCTCTTAGTGTCTTCTCAATACCATCAACCATACACTGCAGTTAATCCCTAAACTCCTAGTCTTCCAATTTTGTGTACGACTGTCATCTTGAGAAAGTTCAAGCAGTATTGCAGAATCTTTAGTGAGTCATGTGAGTTTTCTTACTGTAACAGATAAAGCCTCCTCCCTCCTTATCTATTTTGTGTTCAGTTTTTTAATTTGGATTGTTATCGAATACGTGTGAAGTACTAATAATACCAGCTATTGTTTCTGAAAAACTTCACTCCAAGGCTCTTGAACAATGATAATATTAAAATTCTTCCTTAATTTTCTACTTCATCCCAACCACTTCATCTAGCCAACTGAATCCAAAACTGTATTGGTTCAGGCTCCTTTAAATTGTTACACATATTAGATGGATGTCTTAAGTAGTGCTGTATGACCTCTGAAGCAGCATCCAGCGTAATGTGAAAGATTCATGGTAAATAAAAAGAAGGTAAATCTTCCCTGGAGGAGAGGTAATAAGAGGAAAATTAATTTTTATATGAAGAAAACTGATTCTATCATATATTAAAAAGCTTTTCTGCTGTCATTTTGTCTTTTTTCCTTCTGCAAAACCAGTACTGCTGAACTCACACAAATGGTTTTCCATGAAGTGTAGGCCAAAGATGAAGGCTGCCACAGAAGAGGTATTTCCTGCTTTAAAATCAGTAGTCATGGGGTTTTATTCTTTTTGACTGAGGAAGCATAGGAAAATTCAGCACTGAAAACATGGTTCCACTCAGAATGAGAGATACACTAAGCATGCAAATGTTTTTATAATGCTTAACTCAAACTACAACTCAGGAGAGAGTTTGGGGAGTCATCAGTGATAATCTCTTTGAAATCATCGTCCCAGTGTTCATTAGCAGCTGAAAATACAACAGGATGTTGGCAATCACCAAAAGGGTGCTGAAAACAGGTTAGAGGCATCTTCTTGTGGTCTAAACCTCAGTGAGCCTGTGAGTTGTGGGTACCATATCCAGTTTTGTTTTCTGCATCTCAGGAAGTATGTAGTGGAGTTAGAGAAAGCTCAAAGGGCAACTAAAACAGTCATGTGGTGGAACAGCTGCTTTGCAAGAACGAACTAGAAGGACCAGGACTCCAGTTCAGAGAAGATAACCCTCATAGTGGATATGATTGTGGTTTACAAAGTCATGGAGGTGGTTGCCCAAGTGCAAGCAGAACTGTTAGGTACTAAATCCCATGTTTGCAGAACTAAGAGGCATTTTATGAAACAACCTGGACATTTTGTGTAAAAAATAAAAAGTTCTTACATAGCAGGTGTTGAACTTGTGAAACTTGCTACCCAGAAGCTTGTAAAGGCAGACAAAATGAGCAACATCAAAAAATGGATTACACAAGGTACTGGGTGACAGGTCAATAATGGACAGTAAAAAGAAAAAGCTGTGAATGTCCTCCTCAGCATGCTTAGTAAAACAGCTGTGGATGCTGGAGAGTACAAGGGGAGTGGGGCACAGAAAAAGGCCAGGCTTTTGTGCCTACACAGTATTTCCATTAGCCACTGTAGGAGAATGAATATTGCGCTAGAGGGACAACAGGTCTGAACAAGAAGGACATTTATCATCTCCTCAGTTTGAGGGATGAACATTTGTTGATTCTTACTAATTTCTGAATAGAAATATTCTTTAATTTGTGAGCAATAAAATATTGGATTTCTGACAGTTCTGAGATTTTAGAAGTTCAGGCAGACTGTCTGAAATAGAGTTAGGTTTTGCTTTATGTATGCTTCATTATCCTTGAAATTCTATTCTTAAAATGTTATCCCTCCATTATTTATTCAACCTTACCTAGTTCTGAAAATGGAGCTTAATTTGCTGAAAAATTGAATCTAGTTCTAAATGATCTAGCCTTACTATGATTTCTTGGCAAAAAATACTGTTCTTGGCAGCAGTGATGTTGCTGATTCTTTTAAATTGGTCTCAAGTATATTGAAAGTTAGTGGTATCATAGTTCTCATTTTTGTTGCAAAAAAGTTCCTATTGTAAAGCCTGAAATCCTTTCATGTGCAACAATTTTTGCATTGTTCTGTAAGGGCTTGTCAATAGAGAATCAAATGTCACATCACACTATATAGTTCTATGAACTTCTTCCGTTATGATGAACTAAAATTAACCATACTTTAAGTGCGCTGTCTTTTTAGTAAAGGCAAAAAATGAATTAAAATATCTGAGTTTTCAAATTAATTTATACAAATGCCACAGATCATTACACAAAAAACAAGTAACATTTTCTAATATTGCTGATATAGTGTTATAATCCTTAAATATGTCACTTTCTTTCCTGAAAATACTGTCTTACATGGTACAATCATTCTTGAGGTCTACTCTTCTCAAAGACAGGTGCTAAAAAGTCATTCTTCTGTGGTGTCCTTCTCTCATGAAGTGAAATGACTTTTGCATTCTAAAGATTTGATCATTCTCTGAGTAATTTATTTGGAAGTAATACTGTCCTTGTCATTACAGTATAGTCTAGCCTGTAATTTATTAAGTTTGGGTTAAAAGTATGCAAGTTCATTCTTTTATTGCTTGTATGTCTTACGTGTCGTAAAAGTTAAACTATTTTCATATTGAGAAATAAAACTGGCTTTGTAAAACATAAAAGTTCTCTGGTATACTTAAATTTTCTTTGTGGCATTACAAAATTATCAAGCTTTCTTTCCTTCTCCTTTTATATTTTTATAAATTTTAGGAAGTTAACAATTTCTTATTTGCATTTTAGAAAATTCAGTGCTTGATTCAGTGCCTTGGCCACATGTTTACGAAGTTGAGTGAATTTCTGTGGTTTTGGTGCTTAAGGCTTGCATATTTTGGGAGACTTGCTATATTTGGGAGCCAGTCATATGTATAATGAACAAGTAAAGCATTTTTCTCAGGTGACAGGTGCAAAAGGTGTTTTAGGAAGATCCTGAAAAGAATATTAAAAATAAAAAATATGTTACTCAAGATCTTAATGTAGAATTAAAAAGCCCTGTAAAAACACCACAAATATTTATCTTTAATTTAAAAGAATAATTTACCTTGAGAATTTATTTTCTTGTGGAAATTGGTGAGCTTCATCTAGAAGAACAGTTTAGAAGAAATGTCTATCTTAGGAGAATTTTAATGTTTTTGAGAAAGAGTAGAATTTGATTTAAACAAGAAAAACATCCTTCCCTTGCACTGAACTTGATCAAAAGTTTCCAAAAAATGGTCTCCAATTCAGCTAAGCTATTTACAAGAAGCTATTTGCAAAGAAAATATAAAAACAAACAAACAAAAAACTAAAATGACACAAATCGCCCACTAAACCAATGTAACTTTTAGTTTAGTGGGAGTA